GAATAAGTGGCGAAGAACATGAAGGGAAGACTAGAGGAGTTGGATGTGAAAGACTCCTACAAACAGCACAGTCAAAGTTGCATGTAACTTTCAGAAGAAGATGGAGTACCTACTGGAGTAAATGCATCAAAGTTGAGTACTGAGGTAGGAATAGTTGCAAGAACTATGCCCCCGTAAGAGTGCTTACTTGGAAGAAAGTTCCGTCGATGTCGAAAAACAAATGATTGCTCGGATCACGGTATGTAGTTTAATATCATTATCCATATTGTCATACTTCCTTACGAAAATATATATAATACCCATATAGTTTAATGCATGTACATTATTGATGAATTTAGACCAAGTTTGACATTGATGTCACGGAGCCCCATGTACTGAAATGGCTGAAGCACAAATTGTGTAAGATTCAACAGCTTCCGGAGTGCCCTACACAAGAAATTCAAAGCATATGCTACTAAAAGGAAGCATTACAAATAGACAGAAGAAATTAAAATCCTGTGATTGGATATATCTTTGTGACCTTTTTTCAAGTGAAAAGTTTCAGGTAAGGTCAACATGGCTTTTAACGCTGTTTATATGTATTGTATTTTAATTTCCTGATTTTGTGGTGTTAGGCACGGTCAAAAACTTACACTGAGAACCGTCGAAGATGAGGTGTAACCACCGCGTGGTTCCAAGAACTTTATCCAGCACAAAGGGAAGGTATTTAATATGATTCACCTATACAATAACAACATTGTTGTCCTGGTTACAAATTTATTTCAATTTATGGTCAATGACGATATGAATTGTTAGGGCGCAACAAGTTGGGGAATCTGTTGGTCCTAACAATTATTTCATGACACTCGTTGGAGCGCGGAGAAGGGTGGATAATGAACAAGCAAAGAGCTATATGTAAGTTGATCATTTTTCGTAACTGTTCCATTTGCCATGCTGGATTTGTTTTTATTTAGTCTCATTGCATTTCTCTGTCATCTTTTGATCACCTGTATTATGTTGCTGCTTATGCATTGTTTGATATTGGCATTTAGTTTTCTGAGTGTTACCAAACTTTTATAACTTTGCTGTGGTTGGCTAGTGGAAAATTGTATCATGGTTTTATAACTTTGCTGTGGTTGGCTAGTAGGAAAACTTGTATCATGGCTAGTAGAAAACTTGTATCCACTTTTAGTATGATTTTTCTGTGTTCACTACAGTCCCGAGAAACATAGATACATGGGAGTTTTATGAAGTAGCTGCAAAAAATTAAAAGATAAAATATGAAGTAATTTTCAAATCATTCTACAACAATAAAAATGAGATGCCTCCAAAGAATCTATATCCTTACAGAGCATTAATTTGATTAAGTTGTCTCTCAATTTACATGCTACAGCTAAAACCTAGATCCATACAGAGATATCAATCTCTTTGTTTCTCATCTCAATGCTGCATGTAGGCAGTGTACATACATAGAATTTACAGTATATAATTATATGTGTTGTTAGGCTATGCATTTGAATCAGAACTTTTGATATGAAGAATCCATGATATCTTATCCCTGACAAATTCTCTTTCTACTTCTCTTCTCGGTCAGTTAAATGTTCAAATCATACCATGCACAGTCTCCACTTCTAATACTCAACTCAAAGTTACACTTTTGCACACAAAGGCACACCATGCACACACTCACTGCATTGTAAAACACATGCACATCTGAGACAAGCACTTTTTGTGCTGATATAAAATCTGGATACCTTGTGTGCCGCAATTTCCATTTCGGCAACTTCAATAAGCAACACTGTAATTTGAAATGAAGTTTTTGAGTTAGATGGTTCCCATAAATTAAAAACTTGAAATGTACAAGGTATAGTTGTTCAATAAAGAGGCTATCATGAGACAGGAATATGTATCTTATAGCAGCAAATTTTCAGGAAATTAAATAGTTATCAATTAACTAATCATGGAAAAGCCAATGGCACTCTCATCTAGGAGTTTTCTCAGATACCCACAAGCTGACAACTAAATTTTTAATATACCACTTATTAACTTATTTTGTAATAGAGAACTGAATGAGAATTGGAAAGCAATTAGATGAAATAATACTGTTACGACCATCAGTTATCCATCAATTTGATAATTTTTTGTGTGGTATGATGGTAACATAATTGACAATACATTAAACAAAACACCTTTTGACACCTAAACATTTTTTACCACAGGTACTCTTTTATTTATAAACAATATATTTCATTTGTAGGTCCAATTATGCCTAGTAGAACTGATATATTAGACTTTGACCTCCAATTAGTAAAAAGAATCCATCTATACATTCCATAGAATCTTGTTAAGTTTTCCTCAGATCCATCCAATCAAATTTTCAGAATAGCCTCCAAACTTGTTCAACACAATTACCATGTTTGCATGTCATAGAAGTGCACGGCTGAAACATATACAAGTAAATCTGTTGCTTATATGTGTATAAGAAAACTTTATGTCAGAAATTTCCTTTTAGTATTAGATTGATAATGTTTGAGATACTTGCTTCTCTACTCCATCAGACTTATTTTTCTTTGCTGCTGTAGTATTCTTTTATGTTGCATTTAGTTTGTTGTTGACTTATTGATTATGCATTCAATTGATGGTAGGAAAAAATGATAGAGCTGCAAGAGGAAACACAATTAGGAAAGTGAAAAAACAGAAGCTGAGTATGTGAGGAAGTTCTGGGTAAAACTTCCGGATTTAACAAGAATTTTGCATTTTCACAGATTGAGCATCAATCCATTGCAGCAGAAGCTGAGTTAAGTTGCATTGTGCAACAACAAGAAAATAAGATTAAACAGTTGGAGGACCAGCTAATCTTATTTGATCACAAAAAGAGAAAATAAAAAGCCTTGAACACCCACAATCCATCCTGTTAGAGATGATGAAGCAGCTACTATAGCCCTTGAGCTAGAGAAATCTGATAAGCTCCAACTCGACAACACTTGCCTTCTCGAAGTGATGATGACTTGTCCTCATCAGCTACAGCTATTTCACATACTGGAAGTGGTGACACTTGACATGCTAACGGTATTGAGGTTTTTTGTTTTTTGTATACAAAAGTATTTTGACATGGGGGTAGAACCATCTTTTTAGGATTGTTTCATATATGTGTTAGATGTTGTACATGGGTGGGCATTTTTTTGTTAGTTATGCACAGATAGATAGGTAGAGAAAGGAAAATATGGGTGCATGTTGTTCTTTGGGTTATGCACATGTAGTAGTGCATTTTGGATTTTTATTGCTCATCATGCATAAAAATCCATGATGGACTATATATATAGTATGAAAATATGATTTTGATTTAGTGATCAGATTTTTATATTGTGTCTATTATTTTGTTCATGTTGAATGTATAATGTAGGTCAATACGAAATGCTGAAAAAAAACATATTCTGCAACTAATTTTTTAGTGCAAAAAGTCATTTAGCATAATTGCATTCCGTTGGACGTCAATATGAAATGCTCAAAAAAAACACATTCTGCAACTAATGTTTTAGTAGCAAAATAATTTAGTATAATTGATTTCCATATTCAGCGTCTAAAAAATAGTCGCGATAACATTTTGGATTTCACATTCAGCGTCTAAAATGATAACAATTAACCACTAAATTTTTGTCATTAAAAGATACATTCGGCCACTAATAAAATAGTCACAAACTATTGGATTTCCCATTCGCATCTAAAATGGTAACAATTAACCACTAAATTTTTGTTCACTAAGATACATTCGGCCACTAATAAAATAGTCAACACAAACTTATTGATTTCACATTACTCTAAAATGACTATAATTAACTACTAAATTTTAGTCACCAAAAGATTATTCGACCACTAAAAAATAGTCGCGAAAACCTATTGGATTCCCATTCAGCATCTAAATTACTATAATTACAACCAAATTTTAGTCACCAAAAGATACATTCGGCCTCTAATATAATAGTCCGCGAAAACCGTTTGGATTCTACATTCAGCATCTAAAAGTTACAATTACCACTAAAGTTTGGTCACAAAAAATACATTCGTCTATTAATAAATAGTTGCGAAAGCCTTTGACGAAATTACCCTTACACCTTTGGCGTCTAATTTGTGTGGGATTCGCGACAAATTATTAGACACTAAAACTAACATTTTGCAACTAATTGATTATCACTATACAATTTTACCAAATTACCCTTCAACCTTTAGCGTCTAAGTGGGGGGACTATTTGAACAACATTTGCCGACTATTTTGATAGTCCAAAAAAAAAAACTTTTTGCGTCTAAACCACATAAGACGCGCTATGAATCTGCGACCAGTCTACTGCAACTAAGGGGGCGACAACCGAATTTAGACACTAAAAATGGCTTAGCGTCTAAATGTGACTTTCTGCGTCTAATTTTGCTAGACGCAGAATGCCAGTTTTCTTGTAGTGATTTTCTAAGTTTTCAAATACAGAAAAGGTATCCAATGGCTCAAGCTTTTATCAGTTTGCTAATGGCTTAAGACAACATTTAAGAATTTTATATGCTTTTTGTGCTACTTGCGTATATAAAATTATTTACTTTCCCTTTGGTTGGGAATAAACTAAAGTATTTGTTTGTTTCTTATGAGATAAGGACAAAGCTTGAAATGTTTTTATATTATATCCTTTTTATTTTTTCTTCTCTAATAGCAACATTGGCTTTTTGGTGTCCTTCTTTTAAGATGGGGTTCAGATATCATAGCGGTTGTTCTCTCTACAAGAAATGTATATTCTGGTAGTCTTTGTAATCTTTTTATTAAACAAATTTACTGTTATAGAATTATTTTTGTAATTAAGAAGGTGTTAATCGCAAGTAATTGGTTGAAGAGAACCTAGAAAATTGAATATAAGGATGGTACCTATATCATCTGTGGTGGCAGGAATATAAACATAAAAGTTCTATTTAGATAAAAATTAACACTTCATGATGGCTTGATGCCAGAGAAAAAAAACACACTACTTCCGAGAGAGGTTCTTGGTGCATCTATGAGTTCGAAAACACTTCGATTTTCGATACCGAGTATTTACATGTAAGTTACACTTTCATTTCCCTCATTTGTCAAACAATTTTGATCTTTGTGTATCTGTGTTATTAAGAATTGAGTTTATTGTTGGGAAAAAAAGTACTTCAGGAAATTAACCAGCTTTTAATTAATTACCCAGATATAGATAACTAAAATTGAAAGACGTTAAAATTCGAAATCCCATAATAACATGTAAAAAAAATGTAAAGCTTATTAAGTCTGCTATAAACTGTTATTAGGTTGTCTGAATCATGATCTTAAAATTCTTGATCGATATAATTATATATCTATGAAGTACTAGTTTCAGAATATAATTGTATAATGATGTGTCCAGGGTTAGCATTTTACGTTGCAGAAAATATACCTCGTAAATTATAAACTACAGAATATTGAATTTTGTTTTACTATGTATGTCTTCCATTTAGAATTTTGTAAGTAATATTATGGTCTCAATTATATGATATTTATAGTCAAAATCTATTCTGTTATTGTACATTTTTTTAGTAACTCTCCTCTTTTTTAACTTAGATACAAAATCGTCTTGTGAGAATTCTGGTCCGGAAAGAAAAAGAAATGGTGCTGACACTAACAGATCTAGACAATAAGTTATTCGAGCTGATACCCTTCACCTCCCCCTCGAGTTGTTGCATCTACAGAGTTCCGGAGCGTTTACGTCACATAAATGAAAGAGCTTACACGCCTCAGGTAGTTTCCATTGGCCCTTTTCACCATGGCAAAGAACACTTAAAATTTATGGAAGAAGAAAAGCAGAGATACCTGAAAGAGTTTCTCGCGCGAACGCATATAAACTTGGGGGAGCTTGCTAACTTAATTACAGTCGATACAGAAGACAAAATACGAAGCTGTTATTCTGAAGCAATCCGAATGGATCGCCAAAAATTTGTTGAAATGATCCTGGTGGACTCCATCTTCATCATCGAAGTCTTGTTAAGGAACACCTACTCTACACTTCGAAATGAGAAACAAGATCATATTTTTAAGCAACCATATTTGCTACAGGACATTTGGTACGATATGTGGTTGCTTGAGAATCAACTTCCATTCTTTATTCTAGATGAATTTCTTAACCTAAACGAAGTTGCTGAAAAGATCCCAGTTGAGAATGATTATCCAACAGTCATCTATCTTACTTACAAATTCTTCGAGGATTTAGAGGCAGTAAACGGAAAATTACAGAAGTTGATTGATTGTAAGAAAGAAGTGAAACATTTCACTGATTTTCTAAGAATTTGTCATCTGCCATCTTATCTGCCATCGGACCCGCCGGGAGAAAAGAAGGTTATAACTGCGCCAAGCGTGACACAACTTCATCAAGCTGGAGTCAGGTTCGAATTGAGCGAAAGCAAGGAGTCATTCGACATAAAATTCGAAAAAGGTACATTGAAAATTCCACAACTTAAGCTACAGCTTGAAACTGAATCGTTGTTTCGAAATATGATTGCGTTTGAACAACGGCATTGCCCTGATAATTATATAAATGATTATGTTTTTATCATTCATCACCTTGTGAATACGCCCAAGGATGTGGAACTACTTGTCCAGAAGCAAATTATTGAGAATTGGCTGCCGGATAAAGAGGGAGTATCAACTCTTATAAATAACCTTTCAAGAGGGACTACTCTCAATCCCCATAACTTCTATTTTTCAAAGCTTTGTAAAGATTTGAAAGAGTATCGTGAGACAAGGTGCAACATGTGGAGGGCGAATCTGAAACAGAATTATTTTAACACTCCATGGGCTAGCATTTCGGTCATTGGTGCCATTTTCCTGATTTTGCTCACAGTTTTACAAGCCGTGTTTTCTGTTATCCAAGTGGAGTCTCAATCAAACAACTGCTGATTCTTGACTCGTCATCAATACCCTTTTTATTTTTTTGTTATCCTGTTTTAGTTTTTGTTTATTTTATCGTAGCACTGTTAAATTTGTTTTGTAATTTTACTGATACTTGAATCAAGTTTTTTTCATTTTTGCCAGTTAAATCTTTTTTTGTTTTTTTTACAAGTCAAATACTCATTCTAAGGGAAAAAAAAAATGCACTAGTGTAAACCTTTTGCCTAAGGAAAAAAAAAATTTGTAAACCTTTTGCGTTAAGGAAAAATCAGATTAGAAGAGGATATTGATGCATTTAGCCTGTAAATGCACTAGCGTAAAGGAATTTGAGATTCAGAATAATGCAATCAAATTAATTTATTCTTCTTCAATCTTTCAGTTTGGAGAAAAAGAGAAAGACAAACCGGGTGAATAAAGAGTGTAAAGCTTTGAGCTGAAATTAGAACAGAGGATGAGAGTAAGAGAGAGAGAGAACGAGAAAAATCTAGAAACAAAATTTCAGGTGTATTTTATTATTTTCACTAACTGACAGAATGTACAAGTGTTTCTTACTTATACAAAACGGAGCTGAAGTCAAGTTGGGAGTAACTAACTGAGCTGGAATAATTGACTGTATAGTCAAAGGTTGGTCAACTATCAGTCTTACTAACAACCTCCCTTAAAGTGGACATCCATAAGACACTTTGACTACCTTACTAACATCCTCCCGTAAAATGGACCTCCATACAGACTCTGTTTTCTATGACAAACCAACCTCAACAACTCCAGACAATATCGCCGAATGGATCTCCATACAGATTACTTATATATTTGAAAACTTAATATTACGGGAAGATTAAACTTTTAGAAGCTTCAGACCTGAACACTAGCAGTAGCAACCCTTAAACTTCACTCCTGAGCAAGACTTCAAATTTGAGCTAAACTTCATATCTAAGCAGGACTTCAAATCACCACCTAGAGCTTCAGACCTGAATAACAGCAGTAGCAAACCTGAGCTATACTTCACACCTGAGCAGGACTTCAAAGCTAAGCTAAACTTCAGTAACATTAGATACGAACATTCAACACCATCAAATGAACTTACCATCACCAGGAGCTTGCACCATAAGTTTATCTCTTAGACGTTCAAACCTGGTCACTGACAGTGCTTTGGTAAAAATGTCAGCTTTTTGGTGTTCAGTAGGAACATATTGAATCTTCAGTTTATTAGCAACTACTTACTTTCTTACATAATGAGCATCCAGCTCAATATGTCTAGTTATGGAGTTAAAAATAGGGTTGGATGCAAGAGAACTTGCACTCTAATTATCACACCAGATGATTGAAATTTTAGACAAGTTTAGCCCAATTTCAAAAAACAGACTTCTAAATCAAGCCAACTCAGTTGAGCCCTGAGCAAGTGCTCTATATTCTGCTTCAGTGGATGACAGAGAGACAACTTTTTGCTTCCTAAAGCTCCATTGAAGTAGATTTGGTCCAAGAAACAAGCAACAACCACTTGTTGACCTCCTGTCCTAAAGACTACTGATCCAATCAACATCAGTGTAACATTCCATCTTAAATATATTGATTTTGCTAAACTGAAGGCCATAATTCACAGTACCTTTGATATACCTTAGGAGCCTCTTACAAGCCCGCCAATGTAGTCGAGTAGGGGCCCTAAAAAACTGACTTAGCTTATTCACAGAGTAAGCTATGTCAAGCCTGGTCAGAGTTAGATATTGAAGAGCACCAATTGTGCTCCTATACATTGCTAGATTATCATGTACCTTACTATCTTCAAAGGTCAACTTTGTCCCAACAGACATTGGTGTGGGACAGGATTTAGAGTCCATCATTCTAGTTTTGACAAGCAAACCTTTTGCATATTTGGCCTAATTCATGTGGAGACCTACTTCATCTCGAGTGACTTCAAATCCCAAAAAGTACTTTAATGAACCTAGGATTTTGAGAGCAAACTGTTGATGTAACTTGTCAACAGTTTCCTTTATCAAAGTAGATAAACAAACTAGAATCTACAATGGAATTAACAAAACCCCAACTCAAGAATGCCTTTTTTAGCTTATCGAACCAGGCTCTAGCGGCTTGTTTAAGGCCATAGAGAGCTTTGTTTAACTTGCACACATGATGAGGATATTGATCACTCACAAAACCTTCAGGTTGAATCATATGCACTGTTTTAGTTAACTCGCCATTTAAAAAGGCATTATTCACATCTACTTGTTGGATATCCCTATCAAATTGAACTACTAAGCTTAGGATAGCTCTAATGGTGGGAGATTTCACTACAAGGCTAAAGGTTTCCATATAATCTATGCCAGGGATTTGTTGAAAACCTTTGGCCACCAATCGGGCCTTAAACCTCTGAATTGAGCTATCTGAATTGTGTTTCACTTTAAAAACCCATTTACAACCTACTAGATGCATATCTGGAGTAATAGGAACCAAATGCCAAGTTTGGTTAGAAAGCAAAGCATCAAACTCAGCTTGCATAACAGCTTCCAGGATGGATGTGTGAGAGCTTCTAATGTGGTTGCTAGTTCAATGGTGTTAAGGGTAGATGGAGTGACCAAAACAGAATTATGAACCTTGGCTTTAGCTCGTGTAATCATTGGATGTATGTTTGAAGGATGAGGTGAAGGGGAATCAACAGATATGTCCAACATAAGAGGGACAGTGTCATACGATGTGCAGTGGACAAAGGAGAAAGTTTAGCAATGTTGTGTCTAGATGAAGATGACACTACTAAATGATCCTGATCATGTGAAGATAAAGATAGAGAAGGATTCTTGGAATTTTGGAAAGGCATCTGATCAGATGCTGAAGAACAAGGAGAGGATTGACATTGAGAAGAATGAGAATTACATTGTGAGTTGATTGAAGCAGAGTAAGGAATGTGCCAAACATTAAGTGTTTGATCAGAATCTATCAAGATTGTAGGAGGTAAGGTAGACTAAGAAGAAGAAGCTGTAGAAGGTGACAATGTGCTTAAAAAGGGAAAGGTAGATTCATTAAACTTAGCACTTTGATAGACATACAACTTACCATTAGAATCTAGACATTAATACCCTTTATGATGCAAACTAAAACCAACAAATGTGCACTGAGCAGTATGAAAATTAAATTTATGCTGACTATATGGTCTCGAGAATGGATACACTGCCTAGCCAAAGACTTTAATAATAGAGTGATTTGGAGGTTTGTGAAATAAAACCTGAAAAGGGAATTGATGGGACGTAATAGGAGAAGGTAATCTGTTTGTTAAGTAAGCAGCAATATGGAAAGCAAACCACCAATATTTGAGAGGCATGTGAGCTTGAGCAAGTAAGGTGAGTCCCTATTCAACTAATTGCCTATGTTTTCTCTTAACTCTCTCATTTTGTTGATGAGTGTGTGGACAAGATGCCTAAACACTATACCATGCTCATTAAGGTAAGGAACTAGGTGAAAGAAACCAATATTGATGCAAGACTAAAGCCACGAAAATCTTTGAAAGCAAAGTTAGAAGAGCTGCCACCATTGCCCCGTTCCTCAAACTGTTATATCTATAGAGTTCCACAGCGTCTACGCCAAGAAAATGAAAAAGCTTATGCACCTCAAGTAGTCTCCATCGGCCCTCTTCACCATGGGAAACAACACTTAAAATCCATGGAAAAAGAAAAACAGAGGTACCTGAAAGAGTTCCTTGAACGGACTGGTGCAAAATTGGACGATCTGCTCAACTTAATCACAGAAAAGGAACAACAATTACGTAGTTGTTATGCTGAAGAAATAGAACTTGATCGTGAGGAATTTGTGGAAATGATCTTGGTGGATGCAACGTTTATCATTGAAGTGTTATTGAGGTCTCAGTTCCGAGATTTAGAAAACCAAGAAGACCATATATTTGAAAAGCCATTTTTTATAGAAGATATATGGTACGAAATGTGGTTGCTTGAGAATCAGATTCCATTCTTCAGGATATTTTTAACCTGGAGACTATCTCTGAATTAGTGAAGAATTGGAAACCAATCATCGAGCTTACATATGAATTTTTCAAGAGTTTAGAAGCAGTAAATGACAAATTAAAGAAGTTCGAGAACAATAACGTGGAAGTGAAACATTTCACTGACTTTATAAGAACTTGTCATCTACCATTAGTTAAATCGGCTCCACGTCCAAAGAAAAGAAAAGTTGTAATTGTACCAAGTGTGATCCAACTCAACCAAGTTGGAGCGAAGTTCAAAAAGAGCGAAAGCAACGAGTCATTTGATATAACATTCACAAAGGAGAATTTGGAAATTCCACAGCTAAAACTTCATCTTGAAACTGAATCTTTGTTTCGGAATTTGATTGCTTTTGAACAACGTCATTACGTGGATAATTATATTAACAATTATGTTTTTATCATCAATCATCTTTGTAATACTCCGAAAGATGTTGAACTGCTTGTTCGAGAAAAGATTATTGAAAATTGGTTGCCGGATAAAAAGTGTAGGTTTTTCAGAGTTCAATTAGCTAAGAGAAAGAAGGGTTTTCGTGCATGAGAGAGCTAAAACAATGAGAGTGTAAAAACTACTTTTCAAAAGACTGTGTTTTCATTCACAAAACAGAGAGATATATGGACATACTGCATCACTATTATAACAACTTTTCAGTGAGAATAATCTTTAAATATAATACAGTCTAAACTACTCTTAACTAACACAAATTGCATTGAGATATTCTGGCCTTAATCATCGGTTGTCTTCACCTAAAACATCACACATTACATTTCCAAATTAGACAAAAACTGCACTTGATAGACAACCCCCTTTTTAGCTCAAATCTAGTGCCAACAATTCAAACTAATTTGCAAAATAGTTTCCAGCAAAATATCATTTACTTTAACACTTCTCCTTGATATTTTTGCTGGAAACTCCAAGTCTGAATCTTAATTCTTCAAACTTGGATCTGCCTAAGGATTTGGTCATTATATCAGCCACTTGCTCTTCTCCCTTGCAATGAATCAGCTTTACCTCACTATTTTGCTCTACCTCTCTTACTGCATGATATTTGATTTTGATGTGCTTTGTTCGACCATGGAGAATTGGATTCTTGGACATAGCAATTGCCGATTGGTTGTCACAATACAACACATTACCTTGAGTCTGTTCAAGCCTTAAGTCCTTTAGAATTTTTCTTAACCAAACCAGTTGGTTCACTGCAACAGCAGCAGCAACACATTCATCTTCTGCAGTTGATTGTGCTACAACTTCTTGCTTTTTTGAATTCCAGTTTATGGCACCTGCATTCAAGAAAAAAACATATCCAGAGTTACTTTTCATATCATCCAAGGAGCCACCACAATCACTGTCGGTGAAACCATATAAGCTAAGATTTTCAGCTTCCTTGAACCAAATTCCCAGGTCTGGACATCCTCTAATATACCTGAGGACTCTTTTAGCTGCTTGCAAATGCAACTCACTTGGTTCATTCATGAACCTGGAGAGTAAGCTTGCTGCATACATAATGTCCGACCTTATTGCAGTCAAGTACAACAAGCACCCAACTATGCTTCTATACTTAGTTTCTGCAACCTTAGTAGCTCCATCATTTTTTCACAACTTTAGATATTGCATCAGAGGTGTGTTAACAGGTTTGCAATTATCCATTAAAATTTTTTTAAGAAGTTCATTAGCATACTTCTTTTGGGAGATAAATATGACATTAGGAGATTGCCACACTTCTATTCCCAAAAAGAAACTTATCTCACCTAAATCCGTCATCTCAAATTCCTTGTGCAACTCATTTTTGAAATCCTGCAACCATGTAGAATTGGTTCCAGTCACCAGGAGATCATCAACATACAAGGATACAAATATTCTTTCATCATCAATCTCTCTAACATATAGGGTGTGCTCATTTGGACTTCTTTCAAACCCCAAACTTATCAAGAATTCATTAATTCTGCTGTACCAGGCCCTAGGGGCCTGTTTTAGATCATAAAGAGCCTTCCTAAAGAGATACACTTCATCCTTTTGCCCTTCAACCTTATACCCTCCAAGTTGCTCCACAAATATCTCTTTATTAAGCCACCCATTGAGGAAGGTAGACTTCACATCCATTTGGAAAATTTTCCACTTGAAATGGGCTGCAATTGCAAGTAGAATTCTGATGGTGTCATGTCTTGCAACTAGTGCAAAAGTCTAAGAGAAATCCACCCCAAACTGCTGTGCATAACCTTTCACTACAAGCCTTGCTTTGTATCTGTTAACTGAACCATCTGGATTCAGTTTCTTCTTATAAATCCACTTCACCTGAACGACTTTTCTTCCGACAGGTCTGTTTACCAATTCCCAAGTTGCATTCTTCTCAATCATGTCAAGTTCTTCTTCCATTGCTGTCCTTCACTCCTTAACTTTGGCTGCTTCAGCATAACCAGTTGGTTCCATCAAAACCAAGTTATATCTCTCATAAATTTCTGCCAAAGTTCTAGTTCCCCCGACTGGAGAATCTGCTTCAGAATCAAAACTGAAATTTGAAACATCCTGACTATTTGTTAAGTCTCCTCTTTGCTCTAGCATCTTTTTCATCTCAACTTCGTTTCTATCCCAGTTCCACAACCCTTCTTCATCTACTTTCACATCTCGGTTAACCAGGAATCTCTTAGTCTTAGGATTGTAAATCCTATATGCTTTGGACAAGCTGCTGTATCCAACAAAAATTCCAGTTTCAACTTTCTCATCCAGCTTACTCCTCTTTTGGTTGGAATATGAGCATAACAGATGCTTCCAAATACTTTGAGGTGGTTGATGTTTGCCTTTACTCCATACCAAGCCTCAAATGGTGTTTTTTTGTCAAGAGCTTTAGTTGGCAGCCTATTGAGTAAGTAGACTGCTGTATTTACAGCTTCTGCCCAAAAAAATTTAGGAAGTTTTTTTCTCAAACAACATACACCTTGCCATCTCCATTATAGTTCTATTTTTTCTTTCACTCACACCATTTTGACGTGGTGTGTAAGAAGTGCTCAATTGGTGCTTTATTTCGGATCCTAGACAAAGTTCTTGAAACTGATTTGAGGTATACTCTGAACCATTATCACTTTGGATGGTCTTCAAACTTAAACCAGTTTCATTCTCCACCATTTGCTTAAACTTCATAAACAGTGCAGCCACCTCTCCTTTTTGTTTCAAAAAGTAAACCCAGCACAACCTAGTGAAATCATCTATAAATAGAAGAAAATACCAACTGCCATTTAAAGAAGGCACCTGCATGGGACCACACACATCTGTGTGTATAAGTTGAAGCTTTTTAGCAGCTCTCCAGGCTTGATTTGCTAGAAATAGTTGTCTACTGAATTTCCCCATTTGGCAGACTTGACATACCCCTTCTTTCTCCTTAATTTCGGGCATGCTTTGAACAAGGTCTCTCCTTTTCATTTTCTTAAGACCTGTGTAATGAAAATGTCCAAGTCTTTTGTGCCAAATTTTAGTTTCAACAAGTTTGGTAGACAAGGCTTGTGAAGCTGAGTTTTTCCATTCAATTGGAAAACTTTTCCCTAGCATTCTCACATTCATCAACTCATTGCCTAAATTATCTACTACAATGCAAGACATGTTTTGAAAATGCAAAAAGTAGTTCTTTTCTAGCATTTGACCCACACTCAGAAAACTTTAATTAATTTCAGGTACATAAAGGACATTTGAAATACATTTAGTACCTGATGGAGTTGGGATAGTAACATTACCTCTTCCCTTGACTTCCACAAATTCTCTATTGCCAATCTTGACTTTGGAATGGAAAAGCTTATCTATACTTACAAAGCTTGACAGATTTGGGGTCATATGATTTGTACAAGCACTGTCAATCAGCCATACATCATCACACATCTTCTGGTTTGTGCATGAGGCCATGAAAAGCTGCTCAGTTTCTGGACTTGGTTGCTGGAACTCTACCATTGTAGCCTGCTGCTCCTACTGATTCCCTTTGTTTTTACACACTTTTTCTATGTGTCCAAACTGTTTGCATGACTTGCATTGTATGCCAGGTCTGAACCAACACTTATATTCTGGATGGTTCTTCTTTTTGCAGTGCAAACATGGAGGATATGGTCTTAGTCCACCACGTTTTCCTCCCTGATTGTTGCTTTTCTCTTTTCCCTTCTTCTCACCACCATATTTCTTGTCTTCCCTTCCATGTACTCTTCCTTTCTGACTTGCAAACATGGCTGCCTCAGTTGAGTCTTCTAGCCTCAGTTGCCCTCTTTGTTCCTGGGCTTGAAGTGAATGAACCAGCTCAGCCAAGCTGATTTGGGACAGATCTTTAGAGTCTTCTAGGGACGAAATTTTTGCCTCAAACCTTTTAGGTAAGCTGACCAGGGCCTTCTCCACTACCCTCTAGTTGGTTAGTTCTTCCCGTAGCAATTTAATTTTGTTCACCACAATCATAAGTCTGTCCACATATTCCTTGACAGATTCAGCCTCCTGCATCTTGAGTACTTCAAATTCTCTTCTCAAGTTTAGAACTTGCATATTGCGTGTCTGACTATTCCCCCTAAACTCCTCCTTGAGGGTGTCCCAAGCTTGTTTAGGGGTCTCACATGCCAAGATCCTGGAGAAGACTTGATATGTCACAGCTTAGTGCATACAAGACAATGCTCTTGGAGCCTTGGCTGCCTCTTCTTCATGGATTCTCATTTGGTTCAGCGTCGGGTTTGGTCCTAGCTAGGGAACTTGCTTCTCCTCCTCCACATATTGCCACAAACCATGGCCTCTCAAGTATGTTTTCATTTTGACAGCCCAAACATGGTACTGATCACCATTGAAAACTGGAGCAGAACTTGATGCCATGAGGAAGCTTCTCTTATGGTGGTATTCTAGTCTTAAAAGATCAAGGAGGCTCTGATACCAATTGTAGGTTTTTCAGAGTTCAATTAGCTAAGAGAAAGAAGGGTTTTCGTGCATGAGAGAGCTAAAACAATGAGAGCGTAAAAACTACTTTTCAAAAGACTGTGTTTTCATTCACAAAACAGA